ACTGTATCACCGGATGATACAATTATATTGGATTTTTAAAAGGGAATACGTAAAGGAGGGATCTACATTGTTAGCTGTAGGGGAAAGTACAGCACTCAGGTGTTTTGAAAGCATTAACACATTCTTAAGCACTAAAAATATTTTTTAAACGCATCCTCATCAGATGCTTCCCAATTTAAGTGTCATTGGTCAAATCCATAGATGCAGAATGTGTCACTATTCAAGAATCTCAATTTTTCTAAAAGTTTGAGATATTCTGATAAAGTGGCATGATCTGTAAAAGTAGGTTTACATGAAGGTGTAGTGTTGACCAAGTACATGTATGTATAATGCAACTTTTGAAAAATATACGATACAGTTATATTCGTCTTGAAATAATTTTAATGCGCTTTTATGTAACAGTATTCTGATGGCACGTTTCACGTCTAAATTTATCTTTTGGTAGCGTGTTATGGTAAAACATTTTATAATCAATCTTAAAATAATTGCTCAATTGAAAGTAACTTCTCTCGCCATTTGGGAGTGCTCATCTGCAGCTAGATAGGCATGTGATTATCTTTCTTAGTTTTTCGTCCAAGAAGTACTTATCTGTTTATCAAATGTCACTTGTCATCAATTTTGTATGTTTCTCAGAAAATAGATATCTTTGGTACGTAATTGAATCGTAATTTTTAATGCATTGATGTTAATCTGATTCTTTTTTTCCTTTTCTGCATTCGCAGTTAAAGGATATGGTACTGAAGTTTTCAGGTTCTTACAAGCAGTGCAGACCTTGCACAGGGTCCAGTGCCTACAAGAAAGGACAGAGGCCATATCCTGACTTTGACACCATTTCAGAAGGGGTTCCATACCCCTATATTGGAGGAGCAAGCTCAACTTCAACCCCTGCTTGGGACTTCACAAGCTCCTATATCCCTGGTGGTAGATCAGACCAAAGATTTATGGGTGGCTTGAATGGTGATAGGACCTCTAGAGGCCCTGAGTCAGCACCAGCATGTGATGTTGTTGTTGAGGAAGAGGATGAAACCAAGGAGTGGATGGCACAGGTGGAACCAGGTGTTCACATTACCTTTGTGTCTCTTCCTAATGGTGGAAATGATCTCAAAAGAATTCGCTTCAGGTATATTAAGAAATCACAAGCCTTAATACTGAATTGTTTTACTAATTTTAGATATATGATTCTTTATTCAGAGCATTAAATAATAAACCCACTCAAACTAAATTAGTTATTAATTGTTGGCCTAACCCTGCATTGTTGCCACTGCCCTTGACACGATTCCATTTTTGTAGAGATAGATTTGAATTGAAAGTTGTGAAAGAATATGTACCTATTATGAGGACTTATTATTATACAGAGAATATTATTACTTGTTTTAATAAAGTTAGACCTTTGATTCTTTATTCAGACCATTAAATAATGAACCCGTTCAAACTAAACTGTTTATTAATTGTTGGACTAACTCTGCACTGTTGCCACTTCCCTTGACATAGATTCCATTTGTAGAGATAGAATTGAATTGAAAATGGGAAACAATAGATTTAGTTGCATGTTCTAATTTGTGATAGAAAATGTATGTTCGAGGCCTTAATAGTTAATATCATACAAAGTAAATGAAAATTTTTAGTTGTTGCAAAAGTTAATTATCTACTATGAGTGAAGACTGAAAGCACTCACCATTTAAATTTGAAGCCGAGAGATTTTTGACAAGTGGCAAGCTCAAAAATGGTGGGGTGAGAATTATGACAGAATCATGGAGCTTTACAATGTCCAGAGATTCAATCGACAAGCTCTTAACACTCCTTCCAGATCTGAGGATGAGGTAATCTACAACTTCTACACCAGTATGATGTTTTGTTTACAGCAGTTCATTTCATCGACCTTGTTATTTTTTATGAAAAAGACTGCAACAACAACACTTGCCTATATTGAGTTAAAGATTTGTGATTATACATTGTTGCCTTTGAACAGCAAAGAGATTCTTCTTACTCAAGACTGACATCTGGACAAGAAAGCCCGGGGTCGATGTCGTTGAAGGAATGGACACCAAGGAATCACTATAAACCCTCATTGAATAACCAATCTGAAGCTATGGATCAAGGTGGTGGTCCAAACTTCCCAACAGGATCATCTGTGGAAGCATCTAGGACAACCACTTCTTCTAGAGACGAGCCTTCAATGAGCAATGCTAGTGACCTGGAGGCAGAATGGATTGAGCAAGATGAACCTGGAGTGTACATCACGATCAGGCAACTAGCTGATGGAACCAAGGAGCTTCGTCGTGTCAGATTCAGGTAATATTATATCATCATGCATGTCAGCAGTTTCCTAGTTTCTAGTGGTTCCTCCTCAATAAAACATGACATGTTCTTCCCCAAAAACATAATCCGAGGAACATGTACTTAGTTGGTGAAGTGAAATGATGACATGGTCCCGTAGCCTGCATGTTGACATGTTGCCAAATTTCATAAAAAAATCAAAATTTTATATATACATAAATACACAAACATACACACACACATATGGTTTTTGATTTTGAAGTTTATCAACTCTATCTGCAGCCGGGAGAGATTTGGAGAGGGGCATGCAAAGAAATGGTGGGAAGACAACAGAGAAAGAATACAAGCTCAATACCTTTGACGTGTGGTGGCCTTGAAGAGAATGTCCCAAGCGGGTAGAATCCTCATTTTTGTTTCCTAGAGATTGTAGTGTAGTTGACTCCAGTTTATAAGTGGAGTTCTATGAAGAATTAAGTTGTTGATACTCTCAAACAATGCAAGTCACGCATTGTCATGGTATTGGAAACTATAGGCTACCTGGACAACCTATGTAGAACGAAGTTTACAGAACAAAAGAGTTGTTTTCACATTTGAATCAGAGGTGAGGCGAGTCATCATGTTTTATTTCAAGATTTAAGGTGCTTGTTAATATGTTATTTTCCCATCTTATGGGTAGATAGGTCTATCTTGATTCCAGCAACCTGGTAACTATTCTAGATCATGAAAAGTGAGCATTTGTACAAAAAGAAAGACATTTGGAAATTGGATCTGATTTGTAAGCAACACTTGCAATATGGTCTATACTAATCCTGCAGATTGGATCTGGGTTTTCTTATGTATATTGAAATTTCAACGACGGGTTTCAGCTTATTTTATCATGAGAGTATAATTTGCAAATTGGACCCAATTTTTCTTTTGACACAACTTCTAAATCACTGATTTTTTCTTTGTATAACTTTCTTTGAGGATTGTGGTTCATATCCAATGGAATTGAGCATAAGTCTCTAACAAAATTGATTGGTAACACATGTGTCTATTAAGGAATCAAATAGTTTATGATTTGGAGAAAGTAGTTAGGGGTTTATCATAAATCTGACAAAGCAATATAATAATAATATTAGAAACAACATTCACATTATTAGATTATGGATAAAAGCAAAATTTAAAACCACAAATTACTAATAATGATTATGTTAAAAACGTAAACTCTAGGACTAATAAATTTCATGGGATAGCCGTTTTCTCTCAAATAAGGAATTAAAGAGTGGAATAGGATCTTTCCCAATTTTGTGACAGTGGGATGAAATCTCAGCTCTTAGTTTTTATAATTAAAAGTTTTAGTATGAAACAATATAACAAAAACATTGACGAATGACGAGGTTAATGACGAGGTTTTAAAATTGGACACTCTAGTTTTTCTCCGTTGAAGGGTGTCCACGTTTCATAGTTACCAAAAAAACCTCCAAAACCTATAATGATGTGTAATCGTTTTGGAGAATAGTAATGAAAGAATTCTAGAAAACAGAAATAATATAGCAAAAGACATTCAAAATGGTTATTGTTTTGAACTATAATTTTTCATTTATGAATGTCAATGATTCTATTAAGAATAACAATGTAATGTCCAAGACTTGTAGATTTGAAGTAAATTCATCTTTTAAAGCTCATTTGAGATGTTAAAGAATGTGAAAGGTGTAGGAATGCAACTTACCAAATGCACTGCATATTTTACAGCATAACACAAAATGAGCAGAAATACTAGATGTAAACATTAGAGCCCATGTGATATATAATATTTTCTCTCAACTATTTCATCAGGTGCAATTTATTTAATGTATAATTCTTTTAAAATCAAACTTTATAGTTTTAACATAATTTTCAAACTGATTCTTCATATAGGCTATAAATTTTGTGAGATGTATACAAGTTTGAGTTTTATTATTGTAACATACCAAAAATATAACATATTACTACATCAAAGAGTTATCACAGACATGATACTATGAACAGTAAAAAACTAGATCATAAAGTGACTTTTACCGTCTTTCAAAATAAACATAAATTTTAAACTTTAATATACAAAAGTTATAATCCAAAACTATTTACAAGTGCTAGCATCACTTTCTTCAATAGCCTGCTCCAAGGTCACCTCATCTCCCTCTGCTCCCACACACAGGATGATCATAGCAAATATAGAACACAAAGAAAACATACAACACAAACACATATAGAAGGGTAAGCTAGAAGAAAACAAATAATGATATTGTTAGCAAAAATCAAAGATGAAGTTTTGATGATGAACAGATTTGCATAAGTCAAGATCCATAAAGACAAATTGAAGATCTCTGTATTTTATAAAGCTTTTATAATAATCAAAATTGATGTAATAGTGCTCAAATATGTATTAGGGTTGATTCTTGTAATTTATATTTGATTTATTTACTGTTGAGAATCATCCACAAGCTGTTTTAATCGATTAAACCCAGTTTTAATCGATTAAAACGAGGCTGGCACTGAAAACCCAATTACCCTGTAATAATCGATTAAGGCTATTAATAATCGATTAGTTAATCGATTATTCCTGAGAATAATCGATTACCACTAGCCGTTGGGGGTTTCAGATTTGAAAAACTAGCCGTTGGGGGTTTCAGATTTGAAAAACTAGTCGTTGTACTCATTATTAATCGATTAATATTTNTTTTTAATGCATTGATGTTAATCTGATTCTTTTTTTCCTTTTCTGCATTCGCAGTTAAAGGATATGGTACTGAAGTTTTCAGGTTCTTACAAGCAGTGCAGACCTTGCACAGGGTCCAGTGCCTACAAGAAAGGACAGAGGCCATATCCTGACTTTGACACCATTTCAGAAGGGGTTCCATACCCCTATATTGGAGGAGCAAGCTCAACTTCAACCCCTGCTTGGGACTTCACAAGCTCCTATATCCCTGGTGGTAGATCAGACCAAAGATTTATGGGTGGCTTGAATGGTGATAGGACCTCTAGAGGCCCTGAGTCAGCACCAGCATGTGATGTTGTTGTTGAGGAAGAGGATGAAACCAAGGAGTGGATGGCACAGGTGGAACCAGGTGTTCACATTACCTTTGTGTCTCTTCCTAATGGTGGAAATGATCTCAAAAGAATTCGCTTCAGGTATATTAAGAAATCACAAGCCTTAATACTGAATTGTTTTACTAATTTTAGATATATGATTCTTTATTCAGAGCATTAAATAATAAACCCACTCAAACTAAATTAGTTATTAATTGTTGGCCTAACCCTGCATTGTTGCCACTGCCCTTGACACGATTCCATTTTTGTAGAGATAGATTTGAATTGAAAGTTGTGAAGAATATGTACCTATTATGAGGACTTATTATTATACAGAGAATATTATTACTTGTTTTAATAAAGTTAGACCTTTGATTCTTTATTCAGACCATTAAATAATGAACCCGTTCAAACTAAACTGTTTATTAATTGTTGGACTAACTCTGCACTGTTGCCACTTCCCTTGACATAGATTCCATTTGTAGAGATAGAATTGAATTGAAAATGGGAACCAATAGATTTAGTTGCATGTTCTAATTTGTGATAGAAAATGTATGTTCGAGGCCTTAATAGTTAATATCATACAAAGTACATGAAAATTTTTAGTTGTTGCAAAAGTTAATTATCTACTATGAGTGAAGACTGAAAGCACTCACCATTTAAATTTGAAGCCGAGAGATTTTTGACAAGTGGCAAGCTCAAAAATGGTGGGGTGAGAATTATGACAGAATCATGGAGCTTTACAATGTCCAGAGATTCAATCGACAAGCTCTTAACACTCCTTCCAGATCTGAGGATGAGGTAATCTACAACTTCTACACCAGTATGATGTTTTGTTTACAGCAGTTCATTTCATCGACCTTGTTATTTTTTATGAAAAAGACTGCAACAACAACACTTGCCTATATTGAGTTAAAGATTTGTGATTATACATTGTTGCCTTTGAACAGCAAAGAGATTCTTCTTACTCAAGACTGACATCTGGACAAGAAAGCCCGGGGTCGATGTCGTTGAAGGAATGGACACCAAGGAATCACTATAAACCCTCATTGAATAACCAATCTGAAGCTATGGATCAAGGTGGTGGTCCAAACTTCCCAACAGGATCATCTGTGGAAGCATCTAGGACAACCACTTCTTCTAGAGACGAGCCTTCAATGAGCAATGCTAGTGACCTGGAGGCAGAATGGATTGAGCAAGATGAACCTGGAGTGTACATCACGATCAGGCAACTAGCTGATGGAACCAAGGAGCTTCGTCGTGTCAGATTCAGGTAATATTATATCATCATGCATGTCAGCAGTTTCCTAGTTTCTAGTGGTTCCTCCTCAATAAAACATGACATGTTCTTCCCCAAAAACATAATCCGAGGAACATGTACTTAGTTGGTGAAGTGAAATGATGACATGGTCCCGTAGCCTGCATGTTGACATGTTGCCAAATTTCATAAAAAAATCAAAATTTTATATATACATAAATACACAAACATACACACACACATATGGTTTTTGATTTTGAAGTTTATCAACTCTATCTGCAGCCGGGAGAGATTTGGAGAGGGGCATGCAAAGAAATGGTGGGAAGACAACAGAGAAAGAATACAAGCTCAATACCTTTGACGTGTGGTGGCCTTGAAGAGAATGTCCCAAGCGGGTAGAATCCTCATTTTTGTTTCCTAGAGATTGTAGTGTAGTTGACTCCAGTTTATAAGTGGAGTTCTATGAAGAATTAAGTTGTTGATACTCTCAAACAATGCAAGTCACGCATTGTCATGGTATTGGAAACTATAGGCTACCTGGACAACCTATGTAGAACGAAGTTTACAGAACAAAAGAGTTGTTTTCACATTTGAATCAGAGGTGAGGCGAGTCATCATGTTTTATTTCAAGATTTAAGGTGCTTGTTAATATGTTATTTTCCCATCTTATGGGTAGATAGGTCTATCTTGATTCCAGCAACCTGGTAACTATTCTAGATCATGAAAAGTGAGCATTTGTACAAAAAGAAAGACATTTGGAAATTGGATCTGATTTGTAAGCAACACTTGCAATATGGTCTATACTAATCCTGCAGATTGGATCTGGGTTTTCTTATGTATATTGAAATTTCAACGACGGGTTTCAGCTTATTTTATCATGAGAGTATAATTTGCAAATTGGACCCAATTTTTCTTTTGACACAACTTCTAAATCACTGATTTTTTCTTTGTATAACTTTCTTTGAGGATTGTGGTTCATATCCAATGGAATTGAGCATAAGTCTCTAACAAAATTGATTGGTAACACATGTGTCTATTAAGGAATCAAATAGTTTATGATTTGGAGAAAGTAGTTAGGGGTTTATCATAAATCTGACAAAGCAATATAATAATAATATTAGAAACAACATTCACATTATTAGATTATGGATAAAAGCAAAATTTAAAACCACAAATTACTAATAATGATTATGTTAAAAACGTAAACTCTAGGACTAATAAATTTCATGGGATAGCCGTTTTCTCTCAAATAAGGAATTAAAGAGTGGAATAGGATCTTTCCCAATTTTGTGACAGTGGGATGAAATCTCAGCTCTTAGTTTTTATAATTAAAAGTTTTAGTATGAAACAATATAACAAAAACATTGACGAATGACGAGGTTAATGACGAGGTTTTAAAATTGGACACTCTAGTTTTTCTCCGTTGAAGGGTGTCCACGTTTCATAGTTACCAAAAAAACCTCCAAAACCTATAATGATGTGTAATCGTTTTGGAGAATAGTAATGAAAGAATTCTAGAAAACAGAAATAATATAGCAAAAGACATTCAAAATGGTTATTGTTTTGAACTATAATTTTTCATTTATGAATGTCAATGATTCTATTAAGAATAACAATGTAATGTCCAAGACTTGTAGATTTGAAGTAAATTCATCTTTTAAAGCTCATTTGAGATATTAAAGAATGTGAAAGGTGTAGGAATGCAACTTACCAAATGCACTGCATATTTTACAGCATAACACAAAATGAGCAGAAATACTAGATGTAAACATTAGAGCCCATGTGATATATAATATTTTCTCTCAACTATTTCATCAGGTGCAATTTATTTAATGTATAATTCTTTTAAAATCAAACTTTATAGTTTTAACATAATTTTCAAACTGATTCTTCATATAGGCTATAAATTTTGTGAGATGTATACAAGTTTGAGTTTTATTATTGTAACATACCAAAAATATAACATATTACTACATCAAAGAGTTATCACAGACATGATACTATGAACAGTAAAAAACTAGATCATAAAGTGACTTTTACCGTCTTTCAAAATAAACATAAATTTTAAACTTTAATATACAAAAGTTATAATCCAAAACTATTTACAAGTGCTAGCATCACTTTCTTCAATAGCCTGCTCCAAGGTCACCTCATCTCCCTCTGCTCCCACACACAGGATGATCATAGCAAATATAGAACACAAAGAAAACATACAACACAAACACATATAGAAGGGTAAGCTAGAAGAAAACAAATAATGATATTGTTAGCAAAAATCAAAGATGAAGTTTTGATGATGAACAGATTTGCATAAGTCAAGATCCATAAAGACAAATTGAAGATCTCTGTATTTTATAAAGCTTTTATAATAATCAAAATTGATGTAATAGTGCTCAAATATGTATTAGGGTTGATTCTTGTAATTTATATTTGATTTATTTACTGTTGAGAATCATCCACAAGCTGTTTTAATCGATTAAACCCAGTTTTAATCGATTAAAACGAGGCTGGCACTGAAAACCCAATTACCCTGTAATAATCGATTAAGGCTATTAATAATCGATTAGTTAATCGATTATTCCTGAGAATAATCGATTACCACTAGCCGTTGGGGGTTTCAGATTTGAAAAACTAGCCGTTGGGGGTTTCAGATTTGAAAAACTAGTCGTTGTACTCATTATTAATCGATTAATATTTATGTTAATCGATTAAATGCGTTAGATGACCCGTTTTCGAAGAATGGAAGGGTATTAGGCTGAGTCTATAAAATGGCTCACTCTTTATCTCAAAAACAAACTCTTCCCTTGTGCTCTAGTACTCATAAATCATTGAGACTTGTGTGCTCTTATTCGGCTTGTGAAACTCTTGTCTGTGGAGCTGGTGAAGTGCTGCTACGGCGACAAAGGAAATAGCCGGTTCATCCTTGGTGTGTCTAAGGAGGTGTTCGGAAGAGAATCATCCTTCATGAAGTATTCGGAGGAGGTGTTCATCCTTTGTGAAGACTCAAAGGAGGTGTAGGTTCATCTCTTGTGGTATCAAGAGAGGTGGTTTCTAAACTTTTACAAATTGTGTTTCTTTGTGATTGTAATTTGTAATTGTTTTGTGTTAGTGAAAAAGGTTTATCTTGTTTGAGATAAGCGACTGGACGTAGGATTGGTAAGATCCGAACCAGGATAAAATCATCTGTGCAAATTTCTCTCAACCTTACTCTCTTTATTTGTCTTTATTATTTGCTTGGTAAGTTTAATTGAGTAGAAATTAAAAGGAACACGTTCGTATTAAAAACCCTCTTGGTTTGTTATTCCACGCTAACAATTCCGCTGCAGCGATTCTAACAGATATATGCATACAATTAGACTTTCAAGTAAGTTAACAAAAACATATCAAACCCAACTAACTTTACATTTAACCAGCTCTTGACTTGACCATCCGAATTAATATGAATATGTAGCTATGTCAGTTCGTGCACTTGTTGTGATGAAACAACTGGCCCACCCCAAGCTACCACACAAGGTTAGTCCGTTATCATTCACCTTAGGCCAAGGAAAAGTCACATGTTTGACATTGACATACTGGAAAATTTACTTTCTAAAGGAATCAAGCCTATCTCACATGTTCAAATGTTTTTAGAAAGAGCAATGTTAGAAATATAAACATGCATCATCATAAAAAGTCTAAAGTTAAGAGAACTCGTAGAGTTTGGGTTGAGAAAGGGACTTTTGTGAAAAATAAGGTGCATGATGTTTGTTGTTTTTATTGCATGAAAAGGGACAAACTTCAAACAAATGTAGAATTAAACATTTTGATGTTCCAAATGGGAAATATGCTTGGATTCCTGTTATAAAGTAATATGTCTCTAACCTCAAAGGACCCAAATGAGATTATGGGTACCAAAACTATATTGTTTTACTTTGTAAGTTAAGTTTTCAAAAGGAGAAGAGAACTCTATGATATTCTGCTTTTGGAATTGATGCTCCAAGCTAGGAAGTAACTCCATCAAGTGGTACCCAAAGCCTTCGTTCTAGAACCAAGTAATTGAGCTAAGTGTTGTTTAAACTGTGATGTTGCATCTTGTTTTTACTTGATTTTCCATTATTTAGTTACTGTTATATTCATTTCTGGTTGGGCAAATGATATGTTCATCATTGTTTCATTCATCCTATGGTGTGTTCTTGTCTGTTTACACATTTTGATCAAGTGAAATTCATCTATTTAAGACATTCATGTGCTGAATTTCACTGTTTTCATGTAAAGCCATGTGCATTATTAATTCAATGCTTTGTTGATAATTATCAATTGAATTTGTGTTTAACTGGCTTAGTATTCAATTTCATGAATACTTTGAAGTTACCTTTGGTGTAACCTTTGTCAAGCATAAAAAAACTATGAAAAAGTCATTTAAATGAGTTGGCTCACAGATTTTCATTAGCAATTTTTGATGATTAAGACATGTGAAAATTAAATTGTCCTTTCTATTTCAAAGTTGGTTCTGTGGAGATTTGTTTTTAAGTTAAAATGCATAACGAATGAGCTATGATAATATACATTGAGAGCCTGGATGCAGAAAATGAACTAATTAAATTTGCATAATTTTGATGTAAATTATTTTGTTTAAAACTGTTGAAAGATAAAACCTGAATCAGCTCTTGTGGTTGAACTTTTGTATATGTTGTTTTGATATGCATAGCTGAATTTATGAAGTTGAACAAATTGGGATATGAGAGTGCATGAATCATAGTTGGTGTTTGGGAAGTTGAAATTTGTGATGTAAAAATTAGTTTTTGAACTGATTGTGCTAGCTGAAATGCTTTCTTGTTAAACATGGAGTAGCTGTGATCACATTCATTTAAGCTACTATTGCATTCATTCTAGCTTATAAATTGTTTGTAGAATCATTAATTTCTAATTCGTTTGAAAACTGATTGTTAATTTCAATGAATTAATTAAGTCTGATAAAAGTTGAATTTGATCTATTAAGAATTATTGAACCTAGTTTGGAATTGCAAATACTAATCTCAACTAGCTTGTAAGTATTTCTGCATTGCATTGGACTGAATAGATCTTAAAATATTTTTCAGAATCTTTTTTAAGTTTAAGGGAAATATCACATTTAGGGGGAGAAATTTTTGTTTTGAATTCCTAGGATGTTTTATCATGTTCATGTCTTGCTTTATGTGCCCTTGTAATCTTTCATGTTTTCATGAATAAAATGATCTATTGTTTTAGTACATACACTGTTCAATTGAGGGGGAGCTCATATTAAGGGGGAGCATTATAACTCTTTTTGGTTATGACAAAAAAGGGGGAGAAATATGTGCAGTTACTACTAACTCTTATTGTTGTCTGTCAGTTTGTGTTAATACCCAATTTTGTCCGGGTAGTTAAAAAAATATCTAGAGTTAAGAAGAGGTAATACAATAAAATAAACGGGCAAAGATAAATTTGATACGAAATCTAAAAAGAATGGTGGTTTTGTTTCATTTTCTTTTTTTTTCTATTATTTTTATCCTTTGTTTTTACTTTGTTTCGTTTTTATTTATTTCCTCTCCTATTTATATTTTTTTTATTTCATTTTATTTGGTTTTATTTTTATTTTGTTTATTTTTATCTTATTTCTTTGATTTACCTTTATTTTATTTTATTCCATTTTGCTTTATTTCATTTTATTTTTCTTTTTAAGTTACTTTTATTTTTTTTCGTTTTGTCATTCTTCCTTTTATTTGTTTTATTTTTATTTTCAAGAAAAGATTACCTTTTTTATATAAAAAAAAGGGGAAGTGAAAGAAAAGGAAAAGTAAAATCTCAAGGTCAACTCTGTTCCCTCGTCCTGAAGCCATTAGTTGCAGTGAATGCTTAGAATGTGTTTATAGGGTGCAGCATGAAAAAGTTAC